TGTCCGTCGTCGATGGCGTCCGTCGTCGTCGTCCGTCGGCGTCCGTCGTCCGTCGTCGTCCGTCGTCGTCGGCGTCCGTCGTCGTCGTCCGTCGTCGTCGTCGTCCGTCATCGTCGTCGCCGTCGACGTCGTCGTCAGCGTTCGTCGTCCGTCGTCGGCGTCGTCGTCCGTCGTCCGTCGTCGTCGTCGTCGTCGTCGTTCGTCGTCCGTCGTCGTCGTCGTCTTCGCCGTCGTCGGTCGTCCGTCGTCGTCGTCGGCGTCGTCGTCGTCGTCGGCGTTCGTCGCCCGTCGTCGTCGTCGTCGTCGGCGTCCGTCGTGCGTCGTCGTCGTCGTCGTCGGCGTCCGTTTTCCGTCGTCGTCGTCCGTCGTCGTCGTCGTCGGTGTCCGTAGTCCGTCGTCGTCGTCGAAGTCAGTCGTCCATCGTCGTCGTCGTCGTCGTCCGTCGTCCGTCGTCGTATGTCGTGGTCGTCGTCCGTCTTCCGTCGCTGTCGTCGTCGTCGTCGTCCGTCGTCGGCGTCCGTCGTCCGTCGTCGTCGTCGTCGGCGTCCGTCGTCCTTCGTCGTCGTCGTCGTCGTCGGCGTCCGTCGTCCGTCATCCGTCGTCGTCGTCGTCGTCGTCGTCGGTCGTCGTCGTTCGTCGTCGTCGTCGTCGGCGTCCGTCGTCCGTCGTCCGTCGTCGTCGTCGTCGTCGTCGTCAGTCGTCAGTCGTCGTCGTCGGGTTCCGTCGTCTCCGTCGTCGTCGTCGTCGGCGTCCGTCGTCGTCGCCGTCGTGTGCCGCCGTCGTCCGTCGTCGTCGTCGCCGCCGTTGTCGCCGTCGTCGTCGCCGTCGTCGTCGTCGTCGTCGTCGCCGTCGTCGTCGTCGTCGTCGTCGCCGGGCATCCAGGCTCCCCGCTTCTCCATAAAAGCAATGCCGCTAACAGACGGTACACGCAAACCTGTGACTGCAACAGCTAGTAGAGCCATGCATGACCGCACCACGCAATGAATACCCATCATGCCGTAATGTCCGTCTTCCAGTCCCAGAAGTCAAAGGGCATCAAGGCCGGGTTCATTCGCATCCCCTGGAGGAGCAGGAAGGACAATCAAGACAAACACATTGTATTCATGACTGCTCGCCGCCTCTTCTGGAATCAACCTTTCGAGCATCCTCGCCACTCTGCTCGCCTGTATGTTTGTCGTATCCCCATCGTGCTGTTTATCCTGTGCCTCGTCCTGTTCCTACGTATTGCTCCCAGTGTTGTTCTCTGCTCATCTCCTCTTCCCTTTCCTTCTCTTAATTATCTTCCCCATCCTCGTATTCCTCAGCTTCCGCCTGCTCCCCCTGCTCCTGCTCCTCTTTCCCCCCAACTCTTCTTCCTACTCTTGTCCCTCCTTTTCGCCCCCTGCCGCTTCGGCGGTATTGGATACAGAACCATCGCATAAGGACTCCAGAGCTTGGATGCCGGTGGAACTCCAATCGTGGATTGGCCACAGATCACACCGCCGCCCTCACCAGATAAGGAGCCCCCCAAAGTCTGAAGGCTTCCGGCCACATCTTTTAGCGTGCGCCTCCACCGTAACCGTTCAGGACACAGCGTGCCCTACACACTCTGTTTTTACAAGCGCGAAGGAAGCCCTGTGGCACAGGGGAGGAGGAGGGGGAGGGGAGGGGAAGGGAGGGGGGTGAAACAAGGAGCAGCAGCTCGGCCCGTAGCTGGCATTCGCCTCAGTCTGGCGGCCCGGCAGCACAGGCGCGATGCGCCGGGGCATGTGCGAGCGCGCCGCCGCGTGGCCAAAGGCCTCCCCGCGAGAGCCCATGGGGAGTGTTTCGGGCACGCTGGGGCCTGGGGGGCCGGGGCGGAGCGGGCCGGGGGGGCCGAGGCGGAGTGGCATGCCGCGCTGCGCCGGCGGCTCGCGGCGCTGGCCGGGCCGCCGGACTGAGGCGAATGTCAGCAGCTCTGGGCCGGGCTGCTGCTCCTTGTTTCACCCCCCTCCCTTCCCCTCCCCTCCCCCTCCTCCTCCTCTGTGCCACAGGGCTTCCTTCGCGCTTGTAAAAAAAAAGTGTTGCAGAAGCTGGCGGGGGATCCATACCCGACTGGCGTGATTGTACTATGTGGAACTCCGGAGGAGCGATCGTGCGAAACTGGAGTGAGCAACAACAGTACGGAAAGGTGCACCGACAAGCCCGGCCTCAGCGGGGGGAGGGGTTAGAGTCTGATCGTTTCTAGGAAACGCCATTCACCTGATCGAACTAAAAACCGCCAACTCCAAAGCTCAAACAAACAGCCCACGCATCCACCCACAGCATGTCGGCCAATGAAGAGATCATGAGTGCGGAGACTGATGAGAACATGCCTCTAAATATCGACAGGCACAATGACGCGCAGACCCTGCTCACGACGGCATCGGCGACGACGACGACGACGACGCGGATGGTGATGGCGGTGGCGATGATGGCGACGTCGACGACAACGCCGACGGAAATGATGACGACGGTGGTGAGGACGGCGACAGGGATGATGACTATTGTTAAGAAGATCATAGCGGTGATGACTGCGATGGTGACGCTGGCGAGAATGAGGACAAGGGTGCCGATGAGGATGAGGAGGAAGTGCGTGTGCCCAGAAACTCTGGCAGCTATCTGATCGAACAACGCTTGGTTTTTCAGATGTGTCCACAACCCTCCTCTGCTGGATTCATAGTCGTTCAGACAATGAAACTGCTCGCGCGGCCTCCTCTTCCATCCCTCCTCGTGCCCTTGCTTCTTCCAGCGTCCCTCTTGCATTCGGCATCCTCTGTCATGCCTCTACCACGCTCGTCAACAACAACAACTTGTAAGTAACATAGTCATACTCATGTTTCACGACCCTCTGGATGGGCACCTCGGCACTCCCTCTGGACCACCATTTGGCCTCATCCCCTTGCACTTTGACTTGAGCCACCCTCTCTCATCCTCTCTGAACTGTTCATTGCGTCTGTATTGACGTTCGCAGCGTCCGGCATTACTGGTGTTCCTTAGCCGCGCCCAATCTAGAGCATTGGCTGAGCCGCTGCCACTTCTCTCTCTCTGTGCAACCTCCTTTTTCCCCCTTTGCCTCCACCATCCCCTTGCCCTCTGATGCACTGATTATCCTCCTCATCCTCCGCCTCCCCACTTTCTTGTCACTCGTCTGTCTCTGCTTCGTGCGCGTGCGCTCTGGCACGCCCGCATTTGTTCCCCCCCACGCCCCCGCATTGTCACCGCACTGCAACACAGAAGTCTCAACATCCACGTCTTGCGCTTTGCATCGTCTACTCAGGTTGCTGCTGCTATATACTGGTCCTCACCATACCAACTTCCCCTTCATCCTCATCCTCCAGGTTCTGATTTCCCCCTGATTCAACAGAGATGCATGACTCATTCCTCATCCTGCTCCTTCCGCTCCTGTTCATTATCTTCCGCCTCCTCCTCCTCCTCCTCCTCCTCCTCCTCCTCCACACAGTCCCTCAACAAAGGCACCTCTGGTGTGCCAGGTTCACTCGGAGTGCCTCAGGGCTGCGCAGAGGACCAGAAGGAAACAGTGGCGAGCGAGGAAGAGTCACAAAATGGATGAACTGAGGGGGAGATCAGGGGAACACACAATCCCAAGAGAAAGTCAGGGAAGGGGGGCTCGCGCTGCTTGCGAACCTGCCAACGGAAGCGCGAGCCAAGGACGTGAAGCAACCCAGATACAGAACTGATTATCTTAGAAGATGTGACATCTCATCGGCATGAACAGGAACTGTTGGCGGTCCTCTCGGGTTTCTTGGATTGGCGCTGGATCCCCCTCCCTGTCGCGCGTAGTGCACCACGGGGTCTAGCGCCGATCCGCGAGATCCGAAACTGGAAGCACACAGGCTGGGTTCACATGTGCAGCATCCGGAGACTGCCTAATTGCTGGATGCACGCGCGGAAGACTGGCGTGCCAGGCCATAGGAAGGGCCGAGCGCCAGAGAGACATCTGCTCACGTGCAGGTCCAGCCCTCGCACAGGCTGGCCGCGCATCTGGCTTCCTGGCAGGTCGTGCCCGTGCAGGAGGCTTCTGCTCCGACGCCCGGGGGAGGGCGTGCTCGGGACTGCCCCGAGGCGTGCCAGGCGCCGCAGAGACCGGACGCCAGACCCCGCCCAGGGGATGGGGGGGTCGCTGAAGGGGCCCTGGGACACACAAGTAAATACACAAATAACAGGATTCCCCATATTTCCACTTATGTTCTGGGTTTTTCTCTTCCCCCCCACTTCCCATATTTTCCCATATTTTCGGGGGAATCGACGATTAATTGTGTCTGTGTGTTTCTTCCCCTCCTGAATCGCTGTGGCCCCACGGGCCTCCCAGCGCCGCAGGCAGCCGACGCCAGGTGCTGCCAGAGGTGCCCCTGGCTCATGAAGGGGCTCTGGGACAAACAAATAAATACACAAATATAAATATTCCCTTTATTTTCTCATATTTTATGGGATTTCGTCTTCCCCCCCCCACTTCCCATAGTTTCCAATATTTTCTGGGGATCGACGATTAATTGTGTCTGTGTGTTTTTCCCCTCCTGATGAGACACAACGTGCATCAGATCTGGGTCGAATTTCCGCCGGGTTCACGTCGGCTGGCGCTGGATTTACGTCGGGCACACGTCGGACTCACGCCGGGCTTGCATCGGAATGCCGCCGCGCGAACGTCGTTCCGTGCCTCACGGGGCGGACGTGCGGAACAGCTTTTGCGCGGGCCTCCAGGATGTTCCTCACAATGTCCCCAGCTTCTGCCACCATTTTAGGCGTCCCTGGGCCTCGTGAGGAGGTACCCGGGAGGCCACCTGGGCAACCCGGAAAATCCTTGGGACGCCCCCACGATCGTTCAGGGCCTCAAACCGTGTGGTGACGGACCGCGTGGTGACCTCGGAATCCCCAAAGACCTCAACGCGCGGTCCCGTCACCACTCGGTTCTGGGACCCTGGAAGCCCAAGTCGTCCGAGACACACTCGGAGAACTGCCCGAGTCCCAAAACTGCGCGGTGGCCCCGAATCCCCGTCGACTCACCACGCGGTGCGGGAGCGCATTCTTAAGTGGACCCTGGCAAGTTCACTTGCATGGCATTCCCCCCCTCACCCCTTCCTCCGCCGCTTTGTCAGATTTCGACTGGACAGACTAGACACAAGAGTGACCTTTCGCAGGAGTGACCTTCGGTGTGGGCACACATGGGTCCCCAGATGTCTGAAAACGAAGCAGTCGCAGCTGGTTGCGCGCCCAGGTTTGGCCCCCCCGCGGCCCCCCAAAGCCGCGCACCAAAGGTGGCTCTTGCCCAGGGTCACTCTTGCGTACAGCCGAAGATAGCGCTGGGCCGAAAAGGCGTGCACGTGACGTGAGCCCTCTCCCGGCCTCGCCGTGCCCCCCGTCCGCCTCCACGCAGGGAAGCACTGCCGGAGCCGAACAAGAACGAGCACTGGTCGCCACATCGTTCGGGGGGGGGGCCCCCGAGGCCGACGACGGGGCTCGGCGCGGGGGGGGGGGGCCCGGAGGAGCCGGAGTGTGGGAAGGACGTCACAGAGATGGGGGCAGGGGCAGTGGTGGGCTACATGAGAGGGGAAGCCCCTCCCAACGGCCCCAGGAAGGAAGCGCGAGCATCCAGCCGGTTTCGTCCCGAAGCCCCACCTGCGCGACGAAAAGGAAAAGGGTCTTACGCGAGACGGCATAGCGACCTTACGCGCTGGCTCACGCGCGCCGCCGCCAGCGCGGCACGCTTCATTAGAAACGAGGTCGCTCGCGCGCGACCTTGCGCGGAGAGCTTACGCGCGAATGTCGGCGAAGACGACCATGTTTTGCTGCGTCGCCCACCTTGGAAGCTTACCTGCCCCGATACGCAACACGCAACACGTAGCGTACTGACACGGAACTCCACACTATACCGAAAGCGTGACTCTGGCGCGACACGTTCGGCAACACGCGGGCCCGCACGCGCCAAGCAAACACGCAGCGCGTTGACACGGACGTTCCAAGCACGGCACGTGTTGCGCTTCAGAACGGGCGTACCATGGCAGCTACGCTTAGGTCGGGCATGTCCTCCTACAGGCGGATTTTGGAATGAAAATAGAAAGCTGTTCGAAAAAACACGAAAAGTCCTCATCAAACGATGCTTTACTATTCTCAAGTACTCCTGTCGTTGAGGGGCACGCCCGGCTTAAAGGAAGGGGCCCAGAGATACAAATAAATACACACTAATCCCAGGATTCCAAATATGTTTCCGTATCTTCTGGGTGATCGTCTTTCCCACCCATTTCCCATACGTTCCTGAATCTGTTCCTGGGGATCGACGATTCATTGTGTCTGTGTGAAGCGTATATGTATGTATGTATTTATGACTCTTTGCATGTATGTATACCTGTATGCATGCATGTATGCATACGTGCATGCATGCGTATATGTATGTATGTATGCAGGCGTATATGTATGTATGTAGGTATGCATGTATGTATGTATGTGTGTATGTATGTATGTATGTATGTATGTATGTATGTATGTATGTATGTATGTATGTATGTATGTATGTATGTATGTATGTTTGTGTGTATGTATGGATGCGGGGTGTACATGCATGCATGCATGCATGCATGCATGTATGTTTGTATGCAGGTATAGATGTATGAATGTATGTGTGCATGAATGTATGGATGCATGATTGTGTGTATGTATGCATGCATGCGTACGCCCGTACGTCGGTATGCATGCATGTCTGTATGTATGTACGTTCGCACGTACGTGCGTACGTACGTATGCATACATGTTTGTATGTGCGTATGTATGTGTGTATGGATGTGCATGTGTGTTTGTATGTATGTGTATGTATATGTGTATGTGTATGTGTATGTGCATATGTATGTGTATGTGTATGTGCAGGTGTAGGTGTAGGTGTAGGTGTAGGTGTGTGTCTGTATGTATGTGTGTATGTATGCATGCATGCATGCGTGCATGCATGTATGTATGTATGGTTATATGTGTATGTATGCATGTGTGTATGTATGTATGCCTGTCTGCCTGTCTGCCTGCCTGTCTGCCTGGCTGTATGTCTGCATGCATGTATGTATGTTTGTATGTTTGTATGCATCCATGCATGCATGTATGTACACATGTAAGAATGTATGTATGTGTGTATGTGTGTATGTACGTATGTATGTATGCATGCATGCATGCATGCATGTATGTATGTATGTATGGATGGATGGATGGATGGATGGATGGATGGATGTCTGTATGTATGTTCTCCCCTCCAGATTGAAGCTAAGTTTGGGAGTGAGCCCCTCTGCGAGCCCCCGAGGCGTGGGCGCGGAGGAGCGGAGCAGCGGAGCGGCAGGGGCCCCTCTGCCGACGAAGGGGCCGCCCGAGCCGGGGAGTGGCGCGCGGAGCGCGGGGGGGGCAGCCCGAGGATGGCGGGGAGAGGGGGAGGAGGAGGAGGAGGAGGAGGAGGAGGAGGAGGAGGAGGAGGAGGAGGCGGAGGAGGAGGAGGCGGAGGAGGAGGAGGAGGCGGAGGAGCACGAGGCGGAGGAGGAGGAGGAGGAGCAGGAGGAGGAGGAGAACCAGAGCGGTGCGACAAGCACCTGCTCCGAAGCAGGCAGTGCGTGTCTGGCACGAGGAAGGGTGCGCATCGAGCGGGACTCCCTCGCTGAGACCTATCTGTTCCTGACCACGGTCTGGCCACAGTGTCCTTCGCAAGCCCGAGCTGTTTGTAACTTCTCGTCATCTTCATCCTGATCACACACCTCCTCATCATTACACGATGCGCACCGTACCATGATTCCTCCTGCTCATGTGCGTCAACGCCCTCGTCCTCATCCTCACCCTCTTGCCCCCCGACGGACTACGTAGAGACGACAGACGACGGCGCATACGGACGGCAGAAGACGGCGAGGGACGACAGCCATGGACGACAGCCAACGGACAACGGACGACGACGAATGACGAGGAAAGACGACGACGGACGACAGCGACGGCGGCATCGCCGACGTCGCCCTCGCAGTCGACGCCCCGCGTTGCCCGCGTCGTTGTCGCCGTCGCCGCGGCAGCCGACGACGGACGACCACGACGGGCGACCGACGACCGACGACGGACGCCGACGAGGGCCGACGACGGCGACGGACGGCAGGCGAGGGAAAAGGCGACGGACAGCGGAGGGCGACGCCGGCCGCGCGGAGGGGCGCGCGCGGCGCCCAGGGCGCCCAGGTCCACCAGCGGGCTCCCCAGGCCAGGCGACGCCTCGCCGGCGGGGCGCCGCGGGGGGGGGGGGGGGAGGCACAGCGAGGGCGGCGCCCCCCGCGGGAAGGAGGCCTGCCGCGGCGGCGCAGGCGCCGTCGCCGCCCAGGCCCTTTGTTTTGCAGGCGCGCTCCAGCCAGGAGTGCCCCTCCAGAGACGGCTGGCGAGCGGGTCGCGGGCGTCGTCGGAGGGGGGGAGAGGGCGCTCCTGCTCCAGCCCCTCGTGCCTCCTCGAAGCTCTGCCTCCTCCTCCTCCTGATGCTCCTGCTCACGCTCGTCTGGGCTCCTCCTGCTTCTGCTCCTCCTCCTCCTCCTCCTCCTGCTCCTCCTCCTCCTCCTGCCCCTCCTCCTGCTCCTCCTGCTCCTCCTGCTCCTCCTCCTCCTCCTCCTCCTCCTCCTTCTGCTCCTCATCCTCCTCCTGCTCCTCCTCATGCTTCTGCGCCTCTCCGATTCCTGCCCTCTTCTTCCTCCCCTTGCTCCTGTTCCTGCATCTGCTCCTGTTCCTGGTCCTGCTCCTGCTCCTGGTCCTCCTCCTCCCCCTCTTCCGCATACTTCTTCTCCTCCCCCCCTTCTCTTCCTCCTCCTCCCCATGAGGATGTTACAAGTATCTTGGTTCGCGGTGTTGGAGTCCCACGAATGGCGTTCTGGCGCGACTCAGGATCGTCAAGACGCAACAGTCAGGTTGATCCGTGGCGTTGGAATCCCGAGAACAATGCTTTGGCATGCTTTAGGGTCTTCAAACCGTCGTCTTCCAACGAGGCAATTCCCTCAGTGGAAGTGAACCGTCGTAGGGGCCTGTGAAGACGGCTTGGAGGGAGGGTCTACTTCAACATCGCTGTTGACCCTTGGGTTTACACTGGTCCTTCTCCTCCTATTCCTCCTCCTCCTCTTCCTCCTCCTCCTCCTCCTCCTCATCATCATCCCAGGTTCTGGCACCCAGTTTCCTCAGGACCGATTCCCTTCATAGCGCGGCGCACTTCTGGCCAGACTTTTGCCCCGCTCATTGCCAGCAGAGCAGGGTATGAGAACCTGCGCCTATACCCTAGCTGGCGGCATCACCGGCGCTCTTCGCCCGCCGCAGGTGCACCGTCATGAACCAGTCCGGCTCATCTGTGCGCCAGTTTCTCCGGCGCGCGGGCCGTGAAGCATACAAAAAGCGGCAGCGACGACTCACTCACTCACTGCGGGAATCTCGGCTCAACGACGACGACGACGACGACGACGACGACGACGACGACGACGGACGGAAGACGACGACGGACGGACGACGACGACGGACGACTCACTCACTCACTCATTGACTCACTCACTTACCCAAAGCGGCAGCGACGGCTCGGCTACACGCAAGAGTTACCCTAGGCAAGAGTGACTTTTGGTGCGCGGCTTTAGGGGCCTAGCCTAAGCGCGCAACACGCTACTATTGCACGGCGTTCGGCGCTCGGGGGACCCCAGTGGGCCCGCGGCAAAGGTCACTCCGGCGAAGGGTCACTCTTACGTATAGTCGAATGGCATGGCCCTCCCAACAAGTTGTCTCGAGGCAACCCTTTCGCATCCCAGGCGAGGCCCTTCAAAATGGACAATGGGCCGAGACCCTCGTCACCTGAGAGCAGGGATACCGACCGCAATCCTACCCAATTATAGGATGGCATCTCGGAACATGTCTGTTTGATCCCAAGAGCGTACCCTGTCTCAGCCCACTAAGTCAATCCTGAGCTCGTGTCGCCATCGTGCGTCTCAACATGTGCCAGACTTGCACATCAATGAACTACATAGTCTATGGGGCAGGCGTCCAGATCAAAGGTCCAGAATCCTTTGGGCGTCATGGCCGCATGCAAGTCGCAGCATCATCGACAAACGAGTCCCCTCTGCTTGCCCCACTGATCCGCCCATCTACAAGCGGCTCGCTGATGCTGGCAAGGTGGCGGCCTGCCGCCTACATCAGCCGCTTCACTCTTGCCTTGCCCGACAGGCCAGCGCTGCCAGCTCCCAACGATGCACCACAATGTGCGCCCGAAGGATGCCCGACAGAGCAGCTCCCGTACGGTAGAGGGAAACAATTAGCAAACACCCCCCCTGCCCCCCAAACTCAAAGTTGGCACGCGCGGGGGAGACTGCGGTCGAGGTGCAACTCATGAGACCCACCGCCAACTTTGAACATTGGCAGGAGGGTGAGGGGGAGGCGTTGACAGATGAATGTGGCCTGAGTGTTCGCTATTTCTTCCCGAGGCCTGTACGTCTGCAATCAATGCCATGAGCTCCACCCCGCCTAGAAGAGACCCTGATTAGCACTCCAGTGCAAAGCACAAGCTGTGCCACGGCACGGCACGGAGAGGCCCCTGCTCACGGCACGGCACTGCGCGGCACCGCCTCACCGCATCCCGAGTCGGACCCACGACACGCCTGGGCCGCCACGGATTGCTCGGCACGGCGCGCCAGAGCTCGCACAATACAGGCCTCGGGAAGAAATAGCGAACACTCATGCCACATTCATCTGTCAACGCCTCCCCCTCCCCCTCCCCCCAATGTTCAAAGTTGGCGGTGGGTCTGATGAGTTGCACCTCGACCGCAGTCTCCCCCGCGCGTGCCAACTTTGAGTTTGGGGGGCAGGGGGGGTGTTGCTAATTGTTTCCCTCTACCGCTGCTCGGTACGGCGCGCCAGAGGTTCCACAATAGTATGCGCCACAGATTGCCCCAGAAATTCCGCCGTGGACTGTGCCACTGGTCGGCTCATAGATTGCGCCGTAGCTCGCGCCGGAAGGCAGCACGGCCATCGACTGCGCCGCACGACCGAGCTATCCGCTGCGCCGCCCCACTAGACTCACGCGCTGGTCCACTCTGTGACCCTGCGAGAATAGGTTGCGCAACAGGTTGCTGGTCTGCAGTGTAGCCATGCTGCCATAGGTGGCGCCTCCCTCGAATCAAGAATTGCTCTGCTTTGTGGCACTTCCTCATAGACTTAGTCGCGCCATAGGCTTTCTGCCCGCCATAATCACGACGTGGTCCGCAGTGTCCCTCATCGAACGCATATTGTCTAGCGGTCCGAAGAAGCCTCACAGAATTCTCTGGTCAGAGAGTGTTCGCTGAGACTTGGAATTGATGAGGGAACTGGCCGAAAGAAAGAGAGAAAGAGAGAGAGAGAGAACCAACAAAAAAAAGAAGAGAGACCATGTGGAAACACTTCGAGGCAAACGGACGCAAGTACAAGCATGCGAAAGCGCTGTAATGCAAGGAGGCACGAGTGAAGCCAGCTGGAATCATGTGGAAACAAACAGTAGCATGGAAGAGCAAGTGGCAGCAATAGATCGGAAGGGAAACAACATCGAGGCACGATACGACAGCAACCAAACGAACTCCCAACCAGGCATCGCAATTCGACACCACACCCTCAGCACAAACATTGGAATGGGGAATGAGAAAGTTACGAACTCAGGAGCCCTAAGCCTCTGCGATCTAGCGCCGATGTCTTCAGGTCCTCCTGAATACGCGATGGAGAAATATTCGCAGAAACACCTGCCTGGAGGACAACATCTGATATCCGAGTGAGAGGGGGCCCTCGAACAATCTTACACAGTCCTTGAGGTTCGTGGCTGAAGCGATGTCCCGAACTGTGGGTTCTTGTTGTTCTTGCTCCCATCGCCCCCGCAAGCGCCCCACGATCTCTCACCGCGGCCAGTTCGCGACCCGCGACCCTGCTTGTTATCAACGGCGAGCTCGGGGGGAAGTAAGAAGGGGTGGGCCTTCTCAGAGGGCTCGGAAGTCCCCCAGTCTTCTGAGCAGCTCTCTAAGCCTTCCGCGAAGGCACAGCACACTTCTCAGAAGGCGAGAGGGCTTCTGAGAAGTCCCGCCGCCTTCTGAGAAGGCCTTCTCCTTCTCCTTTCCGCCCTTCGCTCGCCGCCGATTTGATCCTCAACTGCGGGGCTCAGATGTTCCACTGCACCGACCTTGCAGACGTGCATTCAGCGGATTTTCGCGCGGATCTCTGCCCATGCAAAACCACGAAACGGCAAGCGAAAAACGAAATGAATTTCACGTGGATTCGTGTTTGTCTTCATTCCTGGCCGAAGAAATCCGCACGAAATCCACTGCGAAATCCGGAAAGAAATTCTCCAGGACACTCCGAGCCCATCCTGCTGTTCTCCGAACGGAATCCGCTCTGCGATGTTGGCGCCATGAGATGTTCGGGGCGCTGGCTGTGATCTGCCTGCCGGAGCGAGGCTGCGCCGAAAAGGCGTCTCCTGGGTCGGGCGTCACCTCGAACTCCACCAAGGCCCCGACCTCGCGGGGCCGCCACTCGGAAGCTCGGCGGGGGATGGGCGGCTGGAGGAGGAGGGGGAGGAGGAGGAGGGGGAGGGGGGGGGGAGGGAGAGGAGGAGGAAGAGGAGGAGGAGGAGAAGGAGGAGGAGGGGGGTAGGGATGAGGATGAGATGAGAGGAGGAGGAGGAGGGGGAGGAGGAGGAGGAGGAGAGGAGGAGGAGGAGGAGGAGGAGGAGGAGGAGGAAGCTCGAGCGCTGGCCACCGGTGTGTTCGGGGTCCCCAGCCCTCCTTCGCCGTGGGAGGCTCGAGGGCGGCGGCTCTTTTCGTGATCTGGGCCTCGGGCGCCCCTCGGCATGGCTGAAGGGGCCCTGGGACACACAAATAAATAGACACAAATTTCAGGATTCCCCATTTTTCCCTATAGTTTCTGAGTTTTTGTCTTCCCCCCCACTTCCCACATTTTCCTATATTTTCCTGGGACTCGACGATTACTTGTGTCTGTGTGTTTTTTCCCTCCTGACCCTGGGCAGCGCAAGCGCCCCCCGGCAGGAAGAGCAGGCCTCCAGGAGGGGGCCGCGACCTCCGGAGGCCCCCGGCGGAGGCAGGGCGTAAGAGCTCGAGGTCCAGGCCGCGCCCTCGCCAAGCGCAGGGCACCGCAAACACCAAAAGGGGGCGCCAGGCACGAAAGGGCGCCGGAAACCAAGGAGGGGCGCCGGAGGCCAGGAGGGCGCCGACAACTCGAGGGGCGCCAGAGAACAGGAGGGCGCCGAAGACCAAGGACGCGCCGAAAGCAGGAGGGTGCGCAGAAAGGCAGAACGGGCGCCGAAAGCCCATTGAGCGCCGAGAGCCTCAGGGGCGCTGATGGCCGAAAGGGTGCCAAATGCCGTCGAAAGCAAGTGAAGAGAAGCTGAGAAAGGGTGCCAAATGCCAAGCACCGAAAACCAAAGAGGCGCCGAATACCAAAGAGACGCCGAAAGTCACAAGTACGAAGAAAACCCACGAGCGCCAAAACGAAAAAGAGAGTGCCCCCCCCCCCCCCCGGGCCCGGCCCCCAACTGGGGGGCTCCTCCTCCTCCTCCCCCTCCTCCTGCCTCCTCCTCCTCCCCCTTTCCTCCTCCTCCCCTCCCTCCCCCTCTCCTCCTCCTCCTCCTCTCTCTCCTCCTCCTCCTCCTCTCCTCCTCCTCCTCCTCCTCCTCCTCCTCTCCTCCTCCTCCTCCCTCCTCCTCCTCCTCCTCCTCCTCCTCCTCCTCTTCCTCCTCCTCCTCCTCCTCCGTGCAATTAGGAGTCCTCCGCCGACTCCTCGGACTCGCCTTCGGAATCCGACGGCGGTGCCGCCTCCGGCGGGGGCTCTGTTGGGGGCCTACACGGCGGCGCCCGCCACGGCCTGCTCGCTGGCCGCGCATCTGGTGCCCAGCGGGAGTGCGAGCGGCCCCGCGGCTGGAGCTGCATGCACCGCGTTCGCCCCGGCCGCTGCCGCACCCCCTTGTGCCGCGGGCCCTGGCCGACGCGCCTGGGCGTCGCCGCTCGGGGCGCGCGCTCGCTGTCTGCGGGCGCCGACCGATGGCGGCGGCGGTGGCGGCGAGGCGCTGGGTCCGGCGGCCCAGTGCGGCACGGCGAGCCAGGTCCACACCCAGCCCACTGGAACGGCCGGGAGGCCGGGCCCCTCCATGGCGCACAGCCCACCATGGGCGACGGACATGCCTGGCCCCCCCTCAGCCCGCAGCCCGCCCAGCCACTCCGGCAGCTTGAGCCTGATCTGGCCACTCGGGCCGAAATGGCTGCGGAGGAACGGGCATCACACAACAGCCAACAGCAAGCCAGGAACCACAACTCAGCACTTAGCAATGGGTATCATACAGACCTCGAATCCTTATACTTCGCCACAGAACGGGACCCAGCAGAGGGGGCAGGGAGGAGACAGAAAGAAGAGAACAATGATACTAACACGTTGGTTGCCCGCACTCGCGCATAATTCATGCTGAACTGGGGGTTGGCACCGCGGCTCCCTGCTCGTCATCTCCAGGAACTGCTGCATCGTCTCCGACGCCGGGGCCTGCACGTGGGAAACCTCTCTACGCTTGCTCGCTGCGACCTTCGGGGCCGAAGCGCCATGGTCGGCACCGCCTTGGCCATGACCTTTGCCGCAACATGGGGGGAGGAGGAGGAGGAAGAGAAGGAGGAGGAGGAGGAGGAGGAGAAGGAGGAGGAGGAGGACTGCACCCTTCGGGGCCGAAGCGCCATGGTAGGCACCGCATTGGTCGTCACCAATTGGCGCATGAGGAGGAGGAGGAGGAGGAGGAGGAGGAGGAGGAGGAGAGGAGGAGGAGGAGGAGAGGAGGAGGAGGAGGAGGAGGAGGAGGAGGAGGAGGATAAGGATAAGGCCCTTGGGGGTCTGTCAACTTCGCCTACCGACAGGCATGCCGACCCCTGGGAGATATATGGATGCGAGCCCACCCTTGCTTTGGGGGGGCCGCCTGAGGCGACGGGGCCCGCCCCTCTGGTGGACGTGGTCCCCGAGCCTCGCTAGCAGGGAGACCCTGCCTCGGTATCGGCCTGTCAACTGTTGCAGGCGGTGGGGGGCTGCCTCGCTGGGCGCACCCCCCACCGCTGAGAGCCCACCCACCTCCGCTCCCCATCCTCCCCCACTCCCCACTCCCCAGACGGCAGAGAGAGGCAAAAAAAAAAGAAGAGGCGGCCTGGTACATCTCCCTGAAGGCTCTCGGCTAGTATAGATGCATGGCCGCACTGGCCCATGCGGTGAGTGCTTGCAGCCGAGCCCCCGCTTCTAGGGCTGAAGTGGGGAGAAAAAAAAAGGGGGGAGAGCCAGGCCTGGTGCAATCTGCTCTCTACTGCTGCCCTATGCCCCAGCCTGCCGCTGCTGCAGCCCTTGGCGATGAGAGCCTGACGTCCCTGCTCTGAGCGGAGCCGTCGGCCTTAGTGACTGCTATGGCGGCGGCTGGGGTGCTAGAGCTGGCCTCACTGCACAACACCTTGCCGCGGTTCTCCCAGCCCTCTACGCTCTTGCTCGGGCTGGTGCACGGCGGCCTGCGAGCGGGCTGGAGGTAGTCCTTGATCTCCATCTGCGGCTCCACCATCGGCTCCGTCTGCGTGTCGAAGGCGAAGGAGGCCTCGTCGTAGGCGTAGCCGTGCGGGCCCTTGGTCCAGCGCGTGTATATGTTGTCGATCTCGTCGGCCTGGCGCCTCGTGTAGTCCAGCTCCCATGGCATCGGGCCGTGCATCATCTTGCCCAGCTTGTCGTCGGTGATGCCGATGGCGCTCCTCATCGAACTGATGGCGCAGTTGATGTCGTGGAGCTGCTCCTTGAGGTAGAGCTTCGCTTGGCTACGCTCTGCTTCTTCATGTGGGTTGAGGCTCCTCGCGTTCATGCGGCCTAAGGTGGTCACCACCTTCTCCCGCTGCTTGTGGAGCGCGTGGAGAGCCTTCTCGCAGTGCTCGGTCGCCACCTTGAACGCGACGGCGGTGCTCTGGAGTGTGTTGTGCGCGATCTCCAGCCTGTGCGCCGCCGTGCCCGCGACTTGATCCGCCGCTCCTCCCGAGCCTCCTCTGTCGTGCGGCTTCTGCACTATCGTTGGCTGCAGGTGCTCGGCTTCTTCTGCAGCTGGCTGCTGCGCCATCTCCCCCTTCTCCGTGTGCGCCTGCGCCGCCATCGCAGCTCTGGTCGTGCGCCCTCGGGGCGCTGGCTCTGAACGTAGGCGGAGTGTCCGCCAGCAATGGATAGAGAGGCCGCGAAGATGCTCGAGTCGCAAATGTCCTCCTGGTAGTATGTCGAGCTGTGTACCGATCCTCGTTTACCTTAGTGGTTCCAGCCTACTGTTGTACACCTTAGATATTGTAGTAGTTTCCTTAGTTCCCAGTAGTTGGGCCGTAAGGAACCGTAGTAGGACCTTGGTGTGAGAGTAGGCGTAGGCTCGGTCATTTGCTGCTGTCGGAATCCTGTGCCTGTCTTTAGTGTGCGATTCTTACTCACTCTATCCTCTAGAGGTCGAGAAAGGTAGCAGCTGTGATAACTAAAGCGGACGAAGGCTGGATGTATCTGAGCGGGAGAGAAGAGGTCGAACCGTGGTCGGATCACAATCGCATGGCTGTGCTGGATGTTGTGGTGTGGTAGTTCCCTGTGTATGCTGTCATAGTACGCGATGTGTACCCTGTAGCATGTACTGTCGTTCTGTATACTGTCCGGTACGAGTTCGCAGATACGTCGGCTCCGAGCGTGCATCCGCGATACTGCATGACAGACAAACCCCAACTGCGAGTGGAACTAGTAGAGAGCTGATTGCCTGAGAAAGAGATGGTAGGTTGGGAGTGGGAGTTGGTGGGAGGAGGGGGCGTAGGTGGTGGGAGCCCGTGTAATGGTAGGGTGACGGCTGAATAATTAGAAGGTCCGCCGTCCCCCTCAATTTTTTGCCATAGGCTGGTAATGGTCCCTTGGTCGTAAGTCCCGATAGTACGTAGCCATCCGATATAGGTAGGCCATCTGGCCTCCGTGTTGTTCGGCCTGGCTCCTGAGACTCGTCATACGAACAAGGTCTGCACTAATCTGCTGTGCATTTTTTTCCTCTCGGCTCACTGGCGGCGATGATGGTGGCCAGGCACGAGGGCGCCCCATGGAGTTGAGGCGTGGCTCGACGGCGCTGCTCGACAACGAGCTGCTGGCTCCGCTGGGCTGCGGGCCTGGTGGGAACTGGCCCGCGGGGCTCTCTCGCTCGCGGCGTGGCGAGCTGCTGGGCATTGGCTGGGGCGTGCCTTGGCTCACCTCCTGTTGAGCTGCGCCTCCACTGCCCTCTCCAGGCCCGTCTTCGGGCCCCCTGAACGGCTCTTCGTGGCCCCGAGGTGCGCCAGCGCGCGGCCCAGGGCCTGCTTGAATATGTCCCCCTTGAAGCCCGCGATCTTGTCGTACTGCTCCTGCTCGAGCTTCTGGTCGCACAGCGCGGCCCTGAAGCTCGGCGCCGTGTTGATCGTGTAGATGAGCTTGGCCTTGCACTGCTTGATGTCCATCTCCA